ACCCTAAACCCTAAACCGAAAGGCCCGTGGCCGCGGCTTTCCTGCCGCCGCGGCGCGGCGCAAAGCGGGCTTCTCCGAGGCGCGTTGCGCGGTTCTAAACCACACGTCTGCGCGTTGTGCTTTCAGATTTTCGGGTTTATAGGTGGGGTTTAGGAGTTCAGGGTTTAGGCTGTATGATGGTTTTATAACGGTTTGTGAGTTTTGGGATGTTTCGGGCGCAGGGTTTCGGAGTTTAGCTAGGTCTGCGCGTGGAATGCAGGCATCGCGGTTGCAAAGTGCCAAGAGTTGATGGATCTCATGGTACTCATGCAGATATCAAGGGGCTTCGGGCTTTATGGCAGGGAATGTTAACGTCATCCCACTGGACGTTCAATTTCGCAGAGGTTTTGGGAGTTCCTTCTGCATAGACCTGACAGACCCATACCGTCCGTGTGTTTTTACAGGCGTCTGCAAGCTTATGCCCTTGTCCCAAAAGGTCTGACACTTGTCGTGGAACTTGCACGAAACCCTGAACCCATCCTACATCTCAAACCTAAACCTGCAACTCTACGAACTTCTAAACCCCACACCCAAGTCCTAAATCCTTCTAAACCCCCACCACTAGAGATAATGTCGAAGCCACTGCCAGAAGTCTTTCGGCTGCCAGGCCTTGATAACCGCTGTCCGCGATGCGAAGCCGCATGGCCGCCTTAAGTGCCCACCGAGAGCTCATGGCTACCAGTCGTCGTCGTCGTCGTCGCAGTCGTAGTCGTGGTAGTACTGTAGTCGTCGTCTTCGTTGCCGTCGTCGCCGTCGTCGTCGTAGCAGTAGCAGTAGTAGCCGCAGAAGCAGAGTAGCAGTAGCAGCAGCAGTAGAAGTAGCAACAGCAACAGCAGCAGCAGCAGCAGCAGCAGCAGCAGCAGTGGTCGTAGTGGTCGTAGTGGTAGTGGTTGTTGTTGTGGTGGTGGTGGTGGTGGTAGTGGTCGTGGTCGTGGTCGTGGTAGTGGTAGTGGTAGTGATAGTGATAGTAGTGGCAGTGATGGAAGTGGTGGTAGTAGTGGTTGTAGTAGTGGTGTGGTTCTGGTAGTCGGAGTCGGAGTAAGGGGGGGGGGGTCGTCGTCGGAGTCGTAGTGGTGGTGGTTGCGGTCATAGTTGCAGTCGGAGTAGGAGTAAGATAAACTTAGAACATCAGTAGCACGGTTGATCAGCCTTAGCAGGACGTGCATGAATAACCAAATCATATCATGCTAGCAACATAGAAGAAGACGAAGAAGAAAGAGATGTTCACCAAACCCAGAGACCGGGTGTCCTGAACCCAGGTCACAGCGCAGACCCCTGCCAGTGGAGCCAGCGACCTGCTGACGGTCTTATGAGATCTCAGCCTGCGAACCCTTCAAACCGTCGGTGCTAGGGACTATTCTAAAGCCAGAGACAGACTTTTTTTATACAGTCTCCCACAGAACGTTCTCCTATAAAGCCCCGATAACCCCCGCCCCAATAAGACCTGGAGCTATAGCCTGGCTTCTTGGAACATGTGTGCGGCAGGTGAAAGGCAAAATCAGCCAGGGGCCATGCGAGGACAAAAAAGTTGATGTGGCGGATCTTCCCACTTTGGCTCCAGTTGAGTTGCAACTTCAACTTTCAGAGCCATGCGTTTAAACTACATGGCCGTTTAAGGTCATCAGTGACGGTGATCTCAAAGTCTGAAGTTAGTCGTCATCTTAAGCAGGACCCCTGCTGCAGTGACATGAACTAATGTCCCTCCGTCAGGAACGGGGCAATAATTGGGCTTTCTGGGTAACCCTGACCTCACCCCTAATGTAGGAACCTGATTAAGGAACCCTGGGCCTTTATTAGGGTTCTTAATATGAACCCTAATATATTGGGGTTATAGGGCCAGGGTTTCTTAATCAGGTTCCTACATTATATAACCTATACAGCTTTTAGGGTTGAGAAGGTGTAGGCTTTACGGCTGAAAAAACTCTGCAAACCCGAAGAGGTGGTGGGCCCTCTGGTCTCAGGGAGTAGCTGACTTAGCAAGCTGACCTCTCTAGAATGGTTGAGGGTTTAGGTTTAGGGCTTATAAGGTTTAGGGTTTAGGGTTCAGGGCTTCAGGCTTAAGGCTGTTCGGTAGTTTTAGTTAGTTTATAAACTTTCTCCAGAAGCTGACAGAGGGCTTTCCGGTATGAGGGCTTAACAGGGTCCGACCATCTTCAGCCCCATGACACAACATCACGGCATAATGCTCAACCTGATTTCCATTCAAATCCCCAAGCTGAGACCCACTCACTCGAAGCGGTATAGGGCTCAAACCCAACATCTCAGTCCATAAAGGTCAGCTCCAAGCTGCGAGTTTTGAGAAACCGCCGCATTTCTCGGCTTTCAGACGACTGACGTTGCATCCCCTGCCGCCGTGTGGTTGCCATCGGCAGAGAGCCCCGGACATTTTCCACATCTGAGGATTTAGGGTTGTTGTCTCATCTTAAAAAAAGAGCAGAAACTTGAACCTTGAAGAACCTACCTTCTTAAG